ATTATGTAAAGGTACAATTCCCAATGAGAAATGTAATTGTGTTGTATACCTACAATGTACCAATAAAAGAATTTAATACAAAAAAACAAAACAAAACAAAAATCTCCCATAATTGCACTCTGCCTTCCAGACTCTGATGAAGTCCCCAGACTTGTGTTCCTTTTCCCCTGGGGTTCTGGGCAATCCAGATTTCAGCCTCCCAGGCCCTGTGGCCGAAGCTTGCAGGAAAGTGCTCAGGTCTTGCCATCTCTCAGAAGACAAGCTCAGGCAGAGAAGTCGCAGAGGGCCTTGGTGGGAGAGGAAGCTCCAGGCTCCCAGTACTTCAGACCCTGCCGCCTCCTATAGCCTCATGTGCTTTCTTCACTTGGACTAGACCTTCAGCTCCCGAGATTCCTGAGACCCTCAAGACCCATCCCTCCACTGGGTGTGTGGACAGGGACTCCAGTGCTGGCAGGTACTGTTCACACTGCCTATAAAGACAAACAAAACCCTGACACACCTGAGATGGACTTCATATTTTTATTGAAGAAGTTAACATTTTGCATGGTAAAGATCATCTACATGAAATGTCAAAATTCTCTTCTTCTCCAAGAGAATGACTATTAATTTTTTAGCTTTGAATGCACTTTCCTTACCTTGCTTGCTAACATAATTTCCAACTGGAATTGCTCAGTGTCACTGGGAAGGACACTGCCTGTGGTCTCTCCTGCATGAGTGACGGGCCCTGCTGCTGCCCCAGCTCCCTCCACGCCCTGTGGCCCAGCTCCCATCACCCCCTCGAGACACGACCCCCCCACCCCTACCCAGCGCCCAGGCTCAGCTGAGATCTAGGTCCTGTGATTAACATATCCCATCCCTCGAAACAGCACTCAAAAGCACAGTGCAGAGACAAGCTGTAGACCTTGGGGTGCTAAGTTGGCCCTCACCAGGGAGCTAAGTTGGCCCTCTTGGCATCAGACAACCACCTTGCTGCAGGACACAGCAGGTGAGGCCCCCAAATTGAGACATGGGCTCTGGTTCCAGTTCCTTGTGATCTTGACTGAGATGATCCTTTCAGTGTGTCCTGGCTCCCTCTGCAAAGTTCCTATGAAGTTCCAGCTGAGGCTGCTGCTTGCTGGGGAGAGGGCAGAGGTAGCTTCTCATGAGCATGGGAGCAGAGGCTGAGCATGTCCCCCAGAGGCCGGGCCTGCCACACGTGCCCTCAGACCCACTCTCTGTGCCCTGCTCATGGCTAGAGCTCCAGAGGCTGAAGCCCTCTGGCACCAGCCTCCACATGTGCTGAGTGTGTCTGAAGGAGTCAGGGATCCTCACTCCCTGCTCCACAGCTCAGGGGAGAATGCATCCTTTATGTGGGTGGAAACTGTTTTCCCTTGTATGTGTTTCCTTTGTATGTACTTATCCAAGACCGCTTTCACACAAACTCAACTAGATTTCCATCCAAATAAGCTAGCGTCATGTGGGAAAGGTTGGGAAAAAAAGAGAAAGAAACAAACACACTAGTGCTCCTCATGGGATGTCACTATTCTTGAAAAGGGGCTGACGGGATTTTGCTTTTCTCAGCCAAGGTCTCTCATCCCTCCAAGGTGAAGGCTGCAGCAGGCTCAGGAGGAAAAGTGTGGAGGCATGGGAGGAGGTCTATCACATGTCAGAGGACAAATTCCACCCAGAGTCACTCTCTTATGTCTAGCCTCTGTGGTCCAGACTGGAGGAGACATAGGCACCAAGGGCTGGGCCATGGCTTGCGGCTATTGTGTGTACACACACATGTGCATGCACACACATGTGCAGAAAGTAACAGGGCAGAAGGTGTTACAGGTCAGCTCTATGCAGGTGACAACTTGCCTTGACAACTTCCCTGTCTGCTCCTGGCAGAGCTTAGAGGGAAGCCCCAGGGTCCCACCCAGGGAGAAGGCACGAGGGCAACACGGGTGCTTCCGGTCAGCACCAGCCACCTGTGGGGTCCAACGACCATGCAGATTTTAGTAACAGACTAGTTCTACCTCACACTGCTAACACACCACAGCTCCAAGCACTCAGCCAAGGAGATGGCAGAGGACTTCGAGGGCCTATGCTTGGCATTGCCTGCTCTGCAGGGAGGCAGCCTAGAGCAAGGAGCAGGTACATGTCCAGCAGCTATTGCTGATGTGATTGGTCACACGCCCCATGTGTGAGCCCCGTCCTGGGTCACTATCAGCTGCCAGGAGGCCTCTGTGACAGATTCCTTTGTTCACGTTAACTCTTGTGTGGAAATGTCAAACTCACAGATCTGACACTGTTCACTAGAAAGTTAAAAAAAGAAGTTTGCATATATTATGATACATGATTTTATTTATACAACTGAAATTATTTCCTTAGTCACCTTGACTACAAAAACAAATTAACATGGTGTGGTTTAATAACCTTTCTTAAATGGATTTCACACATTTTAATAGCTGACAGATTGCTATTTAATACTGGGTAACACAATACTTAGCAACGTTTGCATATATGTGTATGAAAGTTGTCTGATAGGACTAATAGGCACGGGTACTTTTGCAACTCAGATGGCTGGGTTACTAGGCAAGTGATAGTTCCCCATCCCTGGGCAAGTGTTTAGACCTGGAGGTCTTGTCCCATGACAGCAAACCAACTGTAGCAATTCACACTTACTGGGTGGACATTTTAGTAACTTGAGTTTTTCCTAGTTCTGCATTTAGTAAAACTATCATGAAGCTCATCTGAAAACCAGGAGTTTGCCATGACTACAGTATTTGTAGAACTTATCACAGTGTATCTGGAAAATGGCCCAAACTAAAGCCATGTTACACATCCCTGTGAGCGTGTTTTGGCTCTCTCTGGATGTGTGTGTGCGCCTACATGCACACCCTCCACAGGGCTGTCACACAGGCATCCAGGCCCTCCTACCACCCAAATGCCATCATTCTCTGCTTTGTGAAGTGCCCACAAAGTGCAGCGTTTATGGAGACCACTCAAAGTCTTCTTACAGTGCTGATGTCTGAAGATCAGGCAGTGTTCTGGTGGTGCGGCCCCTTCCTGAGACATGATAGGCCTGGACTCCCGTGGCCACCCCCACAGCTGCAGGGGCGCAGAGTGTGACCACACCAGGGTGCAGTGACAAGAAGCTTACATCTGAGTCACGGTGAGAATCAAAAAAACCAAAATGCCTTGCTGTCTGTGAACAGGAAGAGCCAGGCATGAGCTCTTTGAGAGCAACCTGGTATCTTCCCATGGCAGAGCTGCAGTCAGGCGCAGTGGTCTGCAGTGCTTCTAACACAACTAGCAGGTCTGTCTTTTCAGGAGGGAGTGCTATGGGATGCACTGACACAAGCACAGACCCACCTGTTCGGCATACTGCTCTCCACAGAGGGCACATGGCAGGGCAGAGGTGAGGGTGATCGAGTACCAGAGACTGCCGTGTTCTGTGCTGTGGTGGCAGGGTCATGGTCACCCCACACCGCCATGCAAGGCCTGGACCTGTCTTCAAGCCCCTCCTCAAAGCTGCTGGGCACACAGCAAGGGCAGCATCAGATCCCCATTGTGCTAAATCTAAGAATCGCTTAAATAATGGTGAAAATAAATGTCTTCCTAAGAAAAGGCTACGTGATTTAAAAAACCATTTATAGGCTCTCATATTTGGAGCCGAGGCCTGTCCTGGTCCCCCATTCCCTCCAGTCCTGGGGTTGGAGTGGTGCTGGTTGTTGTCACCATCCAGGCCCGGTAGCCTCCTTCTGAGTCAGGCCAGGCTACTGGCCAGGGTTTCCTACTGCCTGTGTGTGTGCATGTGCACACACATGTGTTTGTGTGTGTGTGTGTGTGCTTCACGGTTTGAACTTGTTGCACTGTTTCAGTGGCAACCAGGAAAATCAGACAGTTCAGGTATAATTTCTCACACAAGCGAGTGGCAAGCCTACACGGGGCCAGGAGCACATGGTAGTCACTGGTGGGCACAGACCAAGGGGCTGCCCGGTGTGAAAGGGGAAGGACACCTTAGTGCCAGGACTCAAGAGCACTCACCCAGCGGCCACATCTGCCAGGAGGGACGTCACCGGCCATCAGGAGAGAAACCAGTTACAACAAACTACCAGGAAAGAATCTGCCACTCGGGCCTGGCCTGGCTAGGGGGACGAGCACAGGATGGGCCGATGGACTGTCCATTCTCGGCATGTTCTTTCCCTCGTGAGTCCATGACCGTGCACACAGACATGTTAACTATCAGGTGTGTCCATTAACTTTGCCGCTGCGGGTGAAACCATCCAGTTAGCATATACACTATCATTTGCATATCTTGGAAACCCAGTGTTAGTGTCATCGGCTCTCGGGAGTGGTACAGGACTCTCTCCAGGCCAGCTCGGGTCTGACATGCCTAAAAATGAAAACACATCATTTGTTCTGCACCGAAGGACCCACATGTCAGGTGCAGACAGTGAGGCCTTGGCAAAACTCCCTTTGATGTTCAAGCCAAACTCTGCTTTCGGTGCCAATTACACTCCTGGTTTTACACTCTTGGTTTCCAAAAAACTGTCCTAATGGGGCAAGACTACGTGCTCTCTTGGTAAAATGGAATTTAGCAGACACTAACAATTTTGGCCTTTCTGGGCTTCAGACTCTGAAATCTGCTCTGTTTGCTAAACTGCTTAACTGTCTTCCTCTGGCAGTGGGAGGCACCGGCGAGAGGCTGGCAACACAGCTTGCTGTGGCAGGAATGTCCTAGGAAAGGAGCCTATTTGTCCATCACCTACCACAGAGAGAAGTGTCCTCCTGGGAGCGTGCAGCATGCACTAGCCCCAACATCAGTGGGGACTGTGACTGGGGGGCAGCAGAAAGAGCATACTGGCTGAGATGCCTGGATCTAAGTGCTCAGTGATGAAGTTAGGAAGCAGAAAACTTTTCGAGTATTTAATCCAAGACAAAAGAAGGAGTTTTGGCAAGAACCATATTTACTGTCCATTGCAAGCCCACAGCACCACAGAGTATACGTTCTTTCAAAAAGCATCGGCTCCAGGGTTGAGCGCTGGCTTCATACGTGACAACTGTGGGGGAAGGATGTGAAAACAGTGTGTCCATGTGTCTGGCAGGGCTAAGGCCCAGGCGGCCTCTGGGAGGCGGCTCCCACTGCAACTCAGTGCACAGAAGGTGCCAGCCCTCCTTGGTTTAAATCCCTCCCATCAGGTAAATTTACCCAAGTAACTAAACCAGAAGTGCTGTGACTTGTGCCACCCCTGAAATGACTTATTCATCATTTCCACAGCATCTCCCAAGAATTCGGCCCTGATGGTTTCTGCTGCATTGTCTTAAGTTGCTGGGCAGTGTGGTAATGACACTTATTTTCACATCCTTTTAGAAAGACATAGTTGGAAAAAAAGGCCTACATGTAAACTGGATGCAAGATCAGACATTTACAAAGAAAAGGGTTCGGTGTGGACTTTGGTTTTGTTCGGGACTTTTAGAAAGCATTACAGACAGTGAGGACAGTGCAGAGGGCAACGCTGCTAGAACCGAGTAAACGCATGGGAGATTCTACCATAGAGTTTGTTTTCAATCCATGTGGAGGGGAGGGCGCGAGGGACGGGGGTGCTGCTGCAGTCCACCAGTGGTGTCTCCTCCTCCGAGAGACCATCGTCGTACAGCAGTGAGTCTGATGGGGTAGATGCTGCGAGATCCAGATAGTCCTGGAAGAGAGGGATGGCCAGTCACCCCCTCTCTGTGGTGGCCCAGGACAAGGGTTCTGGCATACCCACACCTTGGCCCTTGCCAAGGTGGCTCCTGCCTCACTGGCACCTGAGTATCATCTGTTTTCTCTGCCCCCCCCCATAGATCTCCAGGGCCTGAAGGGCAGCCTGGGCTGCCTGTCCACAGTGGAGGGCAGGGGACTGACTACCTGTGTCAGACACTCCAGGGCACAGCCTCCCCCAAAGCCCCTCCACCTGGGGCTCCTGTCAGGGCTCAGAAATGTGAAACACACCACTGATGTTGGCTGTGCCCAGGACACTGCCACAGGTGCCAGCTCCCAGCGTGACTGTCACATGTGTACATCTGTGTGTGTGCATGTTTGCGTGCAAGGGCCTGGTACAGGCCACGCTGCTCCTTGGCACTGTCCCTGGAGCTGGCTCTTAAGAGTCAGGACAGCCTGACTCACAGGACTTGAGGTTCCACCCCAGCACTGGTGGTGCTGTGAAGCTCTGCTGCAGGGGCCTTGCCCAGCACCCTGCATCCTGAGTTTGTAAAGGACACTTCTGGTAAACGTGCCAACAAGAACAGAGATGTCTGTGCGAGGGCTCAAGGGCCCGGCTGGTTCGCTGCATCCCTGGCATGCAGCACTTAGTAGTTACTCAACAAATACCGGCCCCAAATGTGTCCACGCACTCCCTCCCTCATAGTTGTAAAGGGGGGCATGCGAGCCGACTGAGGAGGCCTCCAGACAAGCTTTGCTCGGGTCACACTGGGCTTTTGAAAGTTTATAAATGGGTTCACAGTAAGAACCGGGAGACCTGACACAAGCCCCTCGAGATCAGGCAGACCTGACACCTGGGGCTCCCGTTCTTGGCCACGTGTGTTGAGAATCTGGAACTGCGGAGGGACTGGAGCCACAGTCCCACCCCGCTGCCGCCACCGGGCCCCAGGGCTGCTTCGGCCCTGCGAGAGACCCTCTGGGTGTCAAGAGAGGAGCTGCGGTTGCTCTGTGGTTTGGGCAGTGTCCCCGCTGCCTGCCCTGGGGGTGGCATACCCGCTTTTCACCTTCCCGCCCCCACTCTGGCCTGAGAACTGCAGCCCCAGGGGAGGCCGAGACTCACTCTGCTCTTGACCATCATCTTCTCCAGGTCTTTGCTGATGTCCGCAAACGTGGGCCGCTTGTCTGGTTCCTGCTTCCAGCACTGCAGCATGAGGCGGTACCTGGGGGTGGGGCAGGCAGTGGTGAGGGCCTGCAGTGCAAAGGAGCCACAGCTCTGCTGCCTTGCTCCCGTCTCCAAGCTCACAGGGACTGCGGGGCGGCCTCACTCCAGACCCAAGGGCTCCAGTACCGTGGAGCTCCCCTTCCCTCCAGAAGGTTTACGTTCTCTTTGCTCACAGAAACACCACGAACAGCAGGCTCTGCAGGCTGAGCAGGAAGTGCCACGATGAGGTGACTGAACTTTCAGGTGTGGGTGGCTTGTCACACCTCCGACTGGCATGTTCCTACCCTCCACAGGAGTCCAGGCACAGAGCACAGAGCATGCTAAGGTGTTGTGGCTGCTGCCCAGGCACCACACCCCAAGCAGCGTACAGACTGTGGCACAAGTCCCTGCCTCTGTACAGTCCCTTCTCATCTGTTTTCAACTTGCTTCCTAGAACCATCTGGGACCATGTGGGACTATGTGGAACCATCTGGGACTATTTAGAACCTTCTGGAACCATGTGGGACCACCTGGCTGAACTGCCTGGTGGGAAGGAAGACAGCTCTGGTGCTCTCAGGCTGGGTATTCTCCAGCACCTGCTCATGTGTCCTGCGGGGCGCTGGAATCACTGCCCCACAGCCTGCTGCTACCCCAGCATCTGCCTCCATCCAACGGGGCTCTCTGCTCTGTCACTCTGCATTCCCTGGGATGGTGGCCCAGGGGTGCTCAGGAGTGGGTAGAAAGTGGGTGGCTGTGTCCCCTCCATGGAAGGCCCAGTGTGTGGCACAGAGGGTGGCTGGGGTGGCCATGTCCCCTCCCGTGGGAGGCCCTGTGTGGGGGGCAGAGCACGGCTAGTGAAGCAAACTTGCTCACATCTCTTCACTGCAGTTGTCCGGCCTGTCCATGCGGTGGCCTGTCTTCAGGAGGTTGAAGAGCCGCTCGGGAGGAATCCCGGGGTATGGATTGCCCCCCAGGGTCACAATCTCCCACAGCAGGACCCCGAAGGACCACCTGTGGTAAGCAAGGGGACAGTGAACATCTCTACCTACTATACCTGCTAGGGCCCAGGTATCCACAGCTGCCAGGCCTGCCAGCCACCAATGCCAAGAGTGGCTGTACTAGATGTCAGCTGGGTCTGGATGGCCCTCCTGCCCTCTTGGGTGCCCTCCCCTCAGGGGCCAGCACTACACCAGCCAAGCTACGCAGAGGACACGGTGGCCCCCACCCCTGCAGCTGGATGGCCACAGCCACACTTACACGTCACTCTGGGTGGTGTAGATATGGTCGAACAGGGACTCGATTGCCATCCACTTGACAGGAATCCGGCCCTATGGGGGGCACTCGTGTGACTCTGCAGTCCCAGCTACTGGAGTTCTGGGTCAGGGCCAGCCACAAGGCCTGGAGCCCCAGCCTGAGCTGCAGGGTGCTGCAGGGACGCTGGTGGGAGCTGGGCAGCCGCCCATTGCCACACAGGGTGACTGGCTCCAGGGCACACCCTGGGGGCTACAGGTGTGCAGCCTGCACCCACCTCCTCGACTAAGCCTCAGAGGCAGTTGGCTCAAGGCCTCAGCGTTTACTGCAATCCCCCTTTCCCAAATGCATCCTCTAGGACCCTGTGTTCACATCCTCTCCTTCCCAGGGGACTGTGAGGCCGGAGACCCCCGTCCTGTGTCACAGGAAGGTGGTATCACACCCCACTGCAGTGGCAGCAGCCCCCCTCTTTCCCTTCAATGGTTCTGAGGTCTCTGTTGCCCTGAAAACCCCCAGAAAAAGTAAACAGGGTCCTCAAAACCAGCAGCAGTGGCTCCCGCCCCTCGTGGCAGAGCTGAGCCAAGCTGTGTCCAGTGCTGTTCCTTCCCCTCGGGGTCAGCCCTGAATGCCTGGTTGCTGGGACCCCTGGAAGGTTGCAAACTCCCCCCATTTGGTTCATCACCAGGCTTTGGGAGTGCAGTGGAGTTGGTGACAAAACTAAGAGATCAGGGTGGTTGCCCCAGGAAAGAATGACGTCAGGGCCCCAGAGCCCCTGAGCTACGGCCCCACAGCAAGGGGCCATGACCTTCCCAAGGCCTGAAGTAGCCTCGTAAAGTGCCAGGGATGACAAGCAAAGCATCCTCCTGAAGGCCTCAGGAAGGGAGGACAGCCCTCAGGAAGAGCAGGGACCCAGGAAGAGAAGGAACGGGGTCTCTGCACACTCAAGCGGGGGACAGAATGGGGTAATTTAGGTGGCTTGAGAGTTCAGTACCTGGAAAGCCACTGAATATTCTTAGAGGACCTGAGGGTTGCTGTGACCTCCCTGGGGCACTCTGTAGGGGGTACCTTGCTCCTCTTCACGTAGGAGTCCTCTTCATATACGTCTCGGGACAGCCCGAAGTCTGAGATCTTCATCTTTCGCCCCTCGGCCACCAGGATGTTCCTGGCTGCCAGGTCCCGGTGCACAAGCTGTGGGAAGGAGAGGGACCCTCAGGTGGCTGGCAGGCCAGCTGGACAGGGCCGGGGTGCACCCCTGCACCAACCTTCATCTCAGCCAGGTACTGCATCCCCCTGGAGATCTGCCAGGCGAAGGAGATCAGGTCGCCCATGGTCAGTGCCCGCTCGTCCGGATGGTCCAGGGTGCCAGAGTTTCGGCTGCCTCCATTGCCCACGTAGCCAGGCCCTACCTTGCGGCTATCCCGGAGGAAACCCCGCAGGGACCCATACTTGGCGTACTCCACGATGAGGAGGAGCGGGCCTGGGGGCAGGGACAGTGGGTGTGGGGACACTTGGGCAGGCGGGGTAGTGGTCACCCCGCAGGCAAAAGGATCCTGGCATGGCCCTGCCAGGGCAGCTCTGAGGAGCGCAAGCCTGGAATTCCCACACCCACCACTGTGGGCACCAGCTCCCTCCAGGGGACGGTGACTGGCCAACAGGAGCCCCAACCCTTCCCGTCCTCATCTACCACTGCAGGGCTGTGAGGCCCAGTGGAGGTGGGGAGGCCTGGGAAGGTCAGTCCGGGTGCTGATCAGGTGCTTGCTGCTCCGTCCCTGTGTTCCCTGTACGCATGCACACATGGATGTACACACACACACACACACACACACACACACACACACAACTTGGAAAAGTCCCAGGCAGCACCAAGGGTTGGAAACCAAGACAGACGAGATGGTACGTGTACTCTCGGATGAGAAACGGTGACAGTGTCCTGCCGTGCGGGGCTGGGTTGGGCCATCTGGAGGCCATGCACACCCAGGGCCTGCAGGTACTGGGAAGCAGTACCATCCTTGGAGCTCAGTCAACAACTGGCACCCCCTGGGGACCCGGGAACACCACAGGCACAAAACCTGGGGGTGCAGGGATCAAAAGGAGGTGACTAGGGCAGGGAGGGGAGGCACCAGCCTGCTTACCATCCTGGCTGCAGGCCCCGTATAGCCTGATGACGTGCGGGTGGTTGACCTGCTTCAGGAGATTGAACTCGGACATCAGGTCCCGAAGCTCACTCTGGGATGCATTCTCTGGAAGACAGTTGGGAAAGCAGGCTGCACCCCAGCCCCTGCCACTGTGCTGGGCTGGCACCGCATCTCCCTCAGGGCCCAGGGCCCAGATCTCCCGAGGGCCTCACAGTGGCCCCCAGGGCTGGGGGCACTAGCAGCCTGGGGATCTGGGCACACCCCCAAAGCACCCTGCTGGGTGCCCCCACTCTGCCCCCATGACAAGGGCTCTGGGCCACACGCCTGGCTGCCACTGTCCTGCCTCTGTAAGGCCGGAGAGCACCCGCTGGGAGGTGTGAAGGCTGTGAGGCTCCCTGGCAAAGGCTCCTCACAGGACTCCATGGGACAGTGGGGGACAACTGTCACAGGCAGACGCAGCACTTACACCCCAGGACACCGTGTGTTTTGCTGCCTCTCCAGGGCCAAGGCTGCCCTGTGCCAAACTCTGCAGCTCCGCCTACCTTTCAGCATCTTCACGGCCACTGTGGTGTAGCCAGCTCTGCCCTTCAAGCGGAAGGCCGTGGCCTTTACCACCTTCCCAAACTCGCCCTCTCCCAGGGTCTTCCCGAGAACCAGGTCCTTTCGAGGGAATTCCCACTTTGGGTCCTCCTATGTGGGTTGAGGGGACAAAGGCGGAGAGAGGGGAAAAGTGAGGAGGATGGAGGCGTGCCACTGAGGAGCCTGGGGGATGAGCCTGGGTGGGCAGTGGCCGCTTCTGCACCAAGAACAAGGCCCCGTGATGGACAACTCGTCTTCCGAGTGAAGTCTTGGACCCACACTGACCCTCTCTGCCCACCTACTGCCTACACCTGAATGCTCAGGGCTCAGCTCCATGTCCCTCTAGCGAGGGGCCCAGGGTCTATGATGCATCCCTGTATGCTCACAGCGACCGCCAGCAATCCAGGGCTCCATCTGCTGATCCTGGGCCCCAGGGACCTACACAGCATCCACAGCTGAGGCCTCCAGTCTACAATGTCCAGCTAGAGTGGGAACATCCAGGGTGACAGCCCCCTGTGGACACTTGCAGAGAAAGGTGCCACAAGTCCTGGGGAAGCCCAATCTGGCCCACGCTGCACCACCGTTCCTGCACCTGGCTCAGGCTCTGGCTAGTGTACTGTTTTCAGGTCCCTGTGTCCCACTGCACAACAGGCCCCCCCTGGATACATAAGCAAACCCTGGAAGGGCTGAAGCGTGCAGAATGTAACCTCCTCTGCTCAACCTCCAACCCAGGACCAGCCATATGGTGGCCCTACTCCACCCTGGAGCTCTGCTCCCTCCCTGTGGGGCTCAGCCTACCCTCCTGGGCCCCTCTCGGCTCACACCCCAGCCTCCTGAATCATCCTGACTCCACCTGCACTGCCCATCTCCTCTGGGAGGCGGCTTGGGTGCTTCCTGATGCACAGCTGGCGAGGATGCCCAGGCTGTCCCTGAGCCCTGGGCCAGGGACCCTCACCTGGATCTTGACGGTGTCCACAGAGACCTGGTTCTCCATGGAGTCCAGTGAGGGCCGGCGGGCTCCCGCTGAGGAGTAGCTGATGGGGAAGGCCTGGGCAGGACGGCAGAAGGTCATCTCTGCGGACGCGATGGGAGGCTTGTGTGCATGCTTGTGGTAGCGGTGGACACAGAAAGTGGACAGCAGCACCGAGACGATGAAGGAGAAGAGCACAGCTGCTGCGATCACCGTGCGACATAGGTCATCACAAAGGGGGGCTGTGTGGGCGGACAGCCTTCAGCGTTGAGGCACCCCAGGGAGACCTGCCCCGCTGAAGACTGTGCAGCCTCCTTCTGACTGCTGTGGGCACAGACAGCTGGGCGGCCCACCCAGGTCACACGGAAGGGGCTACACCCCCTGCACCAGCTACCCAGGGCTGCCAGGGAGTTAGATGCCCAGCCTGGAGGCCCCTGGAATTTCCTCCACAAAGGACACAGAGGCAGAGGCTTGGACCAGGGCCCCGTCGTAACTCAGGCGCTGTGAGTGTCCCTGGGCACGGGGGAGTGGGTGGGCAGGAGGCATCCCCCGTGCAGTCACTGTAGCCTGTGCCACCCACATTAGCCAATGGGGACCTGAAGGTGACAGCTGGACAGGCACAGGGAATGGGGCCCAGCCAGGGACAGGTGTTGGAGAAGAGCCTTGAACTGCCCCAGCCCTCGTCAGAGAACATGGGGAGGACGGCACTTCAGAGAGGCCTCTGAGCCTCTCCCGGGCTGCACCCATGGGGAAACTGAGGCTCAGCAGGGTGCAGCCTCAGCACCTCCGCCTTCGTCCTCCCAGCAGCTGCGCCCTCACCCTGGCTGTCCTCGGGCTCGCAGAAGCACTTCTTCTCCTCTGGAAAGCAGCTACAGGTACCATGTCCGGCTCTAATCCCCCGGCGCTCCCCAGGCTCATACCCTCCAACAATGCTGCCCCCTGAGGACAGACACAGCCATCACCCAGGGTGGCCTGAAGCCCGGGGTCAGTGGACACGCGGGCTCCTCTCACCCCATGCCCAGATGTGCAGGCCATCAGGAGCTGCTCACCTGGGCAGGGGGATCTGCTGTGAAGCCCCCTAGGCCAACTTCCTGGCTGTTGGGGAGGAACCCAGACTGCCTAGGGCCCCTGCCGCATTCCCAGAAAGCACCCCCGGGGGGCTGGGGAGCAGAGCAGGGGTAGTCCACAGGGAGCAGGAGAACACAGCGCTGTGAGGCCAGGTGCCAGGGCCAGCATGTCGGGGACAGGGCCCTTATCCACGTGAAAGGTGGGAGGAGCCTGGCTTGGCCTCACCACTGTGACATCTGGTCCCATGGCTGTACCGGGGACAGAACCCAGGGCTGCACAGGGGCCCAGCCACGCTCTGCTGCCACATCCAGCCTGCTCCTTACAAACGGATGCAGCCAGGGTCCCCTGCCAGTCCTGCCATCCTTAGCTTACGCAAGCAGTCCTGGGGGCAGATGTGGGGGTCCTGGTTCTCCACGACATCGCAGTGGCCATCAGGGCAGGTCCTGGTGCTGGGGGAGCAGGTGGAGAAGTTCCTGGAGATCCCTGGAGTGTGACACAGCCGTCACTACATGGATGCTGCCACTCAGACACCCCATGGCCTTCCGGGCCCAGCGCGCCCCTCTAGAGAGGGAAACTGAGGCCCAGGAAGAGAAATCCCACACAGCCCTGGCCACTGTGGAAGGCCGGGCGGGGTCCTCAGTGGACTCCTACGGGGACAGGCAGGTCACCGGGGTGGGGATGGCAGCTGGGGCCACCTGTGGGAGCCACTGTCCTGCACGTCTACCCTCGACTCTGACCTGCCCCACGGGCCATGCATCAGCCTGGCCCCTCTGGTCCCAGTGGTAGAGCCTCCCTAGTCCACGGACACCCAAGGACTGGCAGGCTGGGGTCAGGTGGGCTGGGCGTGGGACCCATGTCTGGAGCCCCCTCCCCATCCCCAGCTTGGCCCACCTTTGCCATCACCCTGCCGCCACTCGCACCGGCCGGACAGGGCACCCAGGCCACCGCACTCCTCACAGTCCGGGTGCCTCTTGCTGACTGCACAGGATAGGGGGCAGCCCGCTGCCTCAGCCACGTCTGGGGGGCAGACAAGCCAGGGTCACAGGGGCCCTGCTGTCCCCGGGTGGAGCCTGGTGACCCAGAGCACCTGGGTGGGATGGGGGAACTGGGGCCACAGGTGGGGGCCGCTCCCGGGGAGGGAAGACAGGGACGGATTGAGGATAGCTGGCTCAGGGTCAGGCCAGACACCAGGGACACCTAGCTCAGCTAAAGGTGGGCGTCTGCTCTGCAAATGTCAGTCCCTAATGCGGATGCGACGCATCGAGGTTCGATTTCCAAGCAATCTCACTGAGTCTCCTCGGACTGAGTGTCCCTTGGGTGCAGGGTGAGACAGAAGTTCTAGTATTGCGATCTTGGGACAGTCAAGTGTGTGTCCTGAGGCTGAGTGGGAAGTCTGCTCTGCCTCGCGGCACATTTGTCATGGAGCCCCAAGCCAACCTGATTCCACCCTGAAGTCTCAGTGCACGGCATTCTGTGACCTGACATGAGGTCAAGTGTGGGACTTTCCACCTGTACACCAGATCAGCCACCAAAAACGTCCTGATTGAGAAGCTTCTTGGATTTGGGCTTGAGGGACACAGCCTGCATCAATCAACTGTGGTTTGATTTTGCAGAACTCAAGTTTAACCCCGGTCCTGCATCTTACCCAGCAGCCTTGAAGCAGGTGCACGTACCTGACTCCCTGACCCGGTAACAAGAATTTCAGCACACAGCAACACTCTCCCCACCAGCCTCCCATCAGGCTTCAAGGGAGCATCATGATTTGGGCACAGGGAGGAGGTCTGGGCTCTGGGAGGGACCGTGGGCGATTCCCCTCACCCCAGACTCACATGTCCCCTCCACAGTGACCAGCAGTGCAGCCTGGGCCTGAGCGTGGGTCTCCTGGTCGGTGGCCACCACTGTGTACTGCAGCTCATCACACTCAGGCCGCTGTAAAGCTTCCGTGTCGTTCACGAACAGGGTCCCTGAGGTGTCCTTGGCTGAGCTGAGCACCCCCAGGGCACTGCAGTTGACACCAGATGGCTGCAGCTTGTACTGGACACGGACACCGCTGAGTTCCCAGCAGTGCTCCACACAGACCTTGCCGACCTGGGGGATGAGGTGGTCAGCAGGCTCAACTGGCCTCAGAGTGTCCTTTGCATGACCTAGGGACAGCAGCTCCCTGCATGCCTCAGGGTGCAGACCTGCCTGCCCATCCCAGCCCTGTCCAGGCCACCAAGTCACTGCTGCCTCTGCTCCCAGGAGTCAGAGATGAGGGCAACCTTCTGCCCTGTTGCCTGCCAGCAGTGCAACTAATGCAGTGAGGTCACCTGGACCACGCCAACCTAGGACTCTGAAGACGGGAACCTTTCCTTCTGGGGATGCCAGGCCCCACGGCTGGGCAGCTGGACTTTGCACCTCTTGGCCACTTGAGACTCATAGCTGCAGCAGGTGAAGTCAAGAACTCCAGCCCCAAGGTGGGGCAGGTGCTGCCCACGAGTCAGAGCCATATCTGAGATGACTCCACCAGGGGCCCAATGCAGAGCTAGGCACCCCTGGGCTTAAGCCTACAGCAAAAGCCTCTCAGCTGTCCCCGAAAAGCATGCCCAATTCCACCTCCTCGGATACTGGATGCTGTCCTAGCTCCATCTTCAACTCACAATGCCAAAAACTGGGGAGGGGTGAGGAGCCAGAATCTGAGGCTGGATGGAGTGTGATGGCGTGGATGACCAGACCCCTTTGCTTGTCACCTCATACCTGACGCTGCTCCCCACTCAAGGGACAGAGATGGGTCCCTTCTGTCACAGGGATTGTCCCTTCTGGGCTGGTGCCAGGACCAACCAAGAGAACTGGCAAACCACTGGGCAAAGGGGAGCCTGACTCAATATGACATTCTGCAGAGGACGTGCCTCTCCACAAGGAGAAGCCGTGCAGGTGGATGTACTCTGGGGACTATGTGTGTGCAGAAAGTGCCTGAGAAGTGCACTGCCCCAGGGCACTCAGCTGAGGAGGTAGAAGGGGTGCTCTTCTCCCTCCTCAGCTTTAATGGTTTTATTTGTCCACATCTGATTGTTTTCTTTTCCAGCACAAATACAGGCACACCACAAGCTCTGGTAGATGCACCTGCCAGGAGAAGCAAGGCGTCCATCTTCCCCCAGAGGGTGCCACTGCTCACCATGCTCCACTCTCACAGACTGAGCAAGGTTCGCTCCTCCAGAGACCAGGCTTGAAACCTTTCCTGCAACCACCTTTCCACCCCATAATCTACCAGGGGGGCATGTTTCCAGGTCAGCATGCAGAGATGCACCTGGCATTGCTCTTACATTAGTGCCAAATGTGATGTAAAGACACCAAGAAGGAAGAAGGGAAATACAGAGGCCTCAAGGAGCCCCAAGCTGTGCCCTAAACAAGGTCCCCCCGCCTGCATCCACAGACTGTTTGGGCAGTTGGGCATCACCCACCCCACCTGCTTGACACCCACCGGCCCACCCTCACCTGGGCATAACGGTGCGCCTTCCTGCTCACGGAGAAAGAGTAGGTGCTGGTCAGGCGCAGGTGGATGGGCAGCACTGACACGTTGAAGTGGAGGAGGAGGACGCCTGAGCCTGGGCCCTGGAAGGTGGAGTCGTTGACCAGCACATCCAGCTGCAGGGCTCGGCTCTCGGAGATGGGCAGGCTCTGGTTGAGCACCAGCTCTGTGGGTGGGGACATGATGGTGACGACACCCAGGCTTGGGCCCTGCTGGCACCTCCTCCCAGACACAGCCTCCACATACATGTGCACACAGGTAGGTCCCAGACAACAGGCTGAGGTCAGCGGAATGAGTACCCACGTTGGAATGTTGACTGCCTGGCTGAGCTGCATGTCCCAGGAACTTGCTTCAATTGGGGCAGCTTTTGCGCGCACACAAGTGTGTGTGTAAGGTGTGTGCTAGGAGGAAGATCTCCGTGATATACATATGTACAGTGTGCATAGATGTGGGTGTGGACAGGAGTGTGAGGTGTTAACAGGGTGTGTGTGGTATGTAGGGCATGTGGTACGTGATATGTACATACAGTGTGCATGAGAGTACACATGAGCAGCATGCAGTGGGGTGTGGTATTTGCAGTGTACACACAGGAGTTTGCGATGTGCAGTGTGCTGTGTGTATGGTGTACACAGGAGTCTGCTGCATGCGCACAGGGTGTAGTGTGTACCAAGCATACACATAATAGTGTGAGGTGTGCACACGTGTGGTGTGGTGTGGTGTGTGCAGTCACAGGCAGGCAGACAACCCCCCTTACTGAAGTCGTGCACTGTGGCGCGCACGGTGCCGCCACCCTCCGCGGCCACGCGGGTCTCATTGGGCACGTGCTCCAGGCGGAAGTGCTCCTGCGCCCAGGGATCCCGCGGCAGCAGTGTGCCAGTGTAGCGCCGGGCCAGCTCCGACGAGGCAGGCACCACATCCGCGTCGAACACGCGTAGTGTGGCCACCACTGTGCCCTGTGGGGGAGGGAAGGGCTATCAGAGGGGATCCAGGCCGACCTCAACCCCTCCCCAGCTGTGGTCCTGCCTGGCTGCCCTGGGCCACTGCTCTCCAAGGAGGCCCAGCTCCTCTTCAGCCCATCAGCACCCCCTTTCCTCGCAGATTCCTGCAGCGCCTGGAGGCCCAGCACTTGGTCCACTCCCTGAAGTGGGTTGATAGCCCGGGAGGTCCCCAGCGAGCGCCTTCCGGTCTCTGCAGCTGGCGCTCCCTCCCCAGGCCCGCGAGGACAGCTAAGGGGAGGGCGAACTCGTACCTCCTTGCGCCGGAAAGCCACCTCGGCATTGGCCGTGTCCCCCACCCCCGACACGCTGGGCGCCGAGTCGTCCTCGTCGTACACTGTGACCAGGAAGGGCTCCCGCACCTCGTCCTCATGTGCGCCAGAGCGCATGGTGCATGTGGCCACCAGGTCAAAGCGCTCCCGGTGCTCCCGGTCCAGCACGCGCTGCGTGCTCACCTTCAGGCTGTCCGGGGCACAGCGGAAGGGGCCACCGTCACCTGGGATGGGGACACAGCAGGTGACAGCCAGCCCGTGGTGCCACGGCAGGCATTTACGTGAGGCAGTCTTTGATTCCCTTGGAAAGCCTGGGAACTAAAGCCTCAGCCCTGCCTTTGACACCAAGCGTTCAACTGAGCCCTACTCCAGGCAAGTTTTACCCCCTATTTTACGTGGCCTGGCTGCTGGCCCCTCAATGCCTCAGTTTCCCTAGTAGACGCCAGGGCCTAGGTGTCCCAGCAGTGCCTGGCACTGAGATGCACTCTGCAGTGACTCACAGGACATAAGAGGGGACAGGCCCAGCCCATTCTATAGCTTGTCCTCCAGCAGCAACCCAGGCAAGGGGACCCACTGAAGGCAGCACAGCCCTGTCAGTGGGGTATCAGTCACTTGTGAATTATTCACCCTGGAAACGCCCGTCACTCATACCACCTTTCCCTCTCTTCTGTGTGCTTACAAAAACCATACTAAACAAATTCATGTCATTTTTTCTTAGCAAGAAATGGCTGCACGCAAAACCCCATCTGTCTGGAAGACATGTACCCTGCCTGGGCTGGAGATTGAGTGCTGAGTGTGAGTGCAGGCTTTCCTTCCTCTACGGAAATCTCCACCCATGCTGCACCACGCTGGCGAGTGTGGGCCTGGTATAGACCCACAGTAGTGTGGCCCCACATCACCAGCTGAGTGGCCTCATGGGCAGCTGGCCACCTTCTCTCCTCATTCCCCTGGGGTCACCAGCCTGTCCCACACCAGGCCTGTCCAGGCCCAGCTTCTGGAGAGGCGGCTGTCCCCCTAGCTGCTCAGAAAAATCCTTGGGACAGTGCTCAACACCCACAGCCAGCCCAGGAGGAAATCAAACCTGCTGGTCCCCTGCTTCTCGGAGGCCTGCTGGCTTCCAGCTTCATGCAGCCCCGTCCTCCAGCTCAGGGGCCTCTTGTAGCCTGTCTCCCTGCTTCCACCCACACCTGCAAGCCCACACTACGCCCAGCGCCGGAGTCTGGCTGATCCTTTTCAAGGTAAAGTCAGCCTTCTATGGCTTCCATGGCCCACAGGGTGCAAAGCTCTGAAGGCTACTCTCAGGCCTAGGGCCACGCTGCTCCCCAGCCTTAGTCCTCCCCAGCAGCTGGGCCACATGAGGCCCCACCCTGTCACCTGCCCTAGTTGCTGTTCGCTCTGGGACCCCCACCTTGCCCACCTGGCTGAATCAGTGTCTCCGTCTCCACTACACCTACCCCATTCTTCCCTGTCCTCTCGGAAGCCACTGGCCCCAGAGACTGGAGGACACCAGCCTGTGACCTTCCCAACCACTGCCTCTGCTTCAGGATAGCACATGGCCAGTGTAGATCCAGAAGTGACCAGCTGCTCACCCTGCAGGAGCCTGTAGGCCACACTGATGTTGGGGCACAGGAAGTGCACGGGCAGCAGACGGAACTGGTGGAAGGTGCCGGACGGCCTGTTCTCACGGATGCGGAAGGACAGCCCGTTCTCCGGGAAGCAAATCTCCCGGAGTGAAAGGGAGCTGCAGGCAGGGAAGGAGGTGTTGATGAAGGAGAAATATACTCGGGTGCACCCCGGCCAGTGGCACTCGCCTTCTCTCAGGGGCGGGTACGACAGGAAGACATGCAGGAAGATGGTCAGCAGGGGGAAGCCGCCGTCTGTGGGGAGAGAAGAGAGGAGTCAGGCCAGGCAAGGCCTTACCTGTCTGGTAGGCATGGGCGCGAGCTGGCTGGGGTCCAGGGTTCACATCTAGCCCTTGGCTTCACCTCCCAGCTCCGTGCAGGACCCTGAGGCTGCAGCACCCGGCCCACCATGCCCACCTGTTTTCACCTGGTCCCGGCCTCCCAATGTCCCCACCTCCTGTGGTGGGTGGCTCCCCAGGGCCAGCTCCTGTGCTCAACCTGCCCTGGGACCCACCAAGGACAGACACCTCTGGCGCTTGGAGCGCACCTCCATGGCACTCCCACCAAGGTACCACGAGGAGGGAAGCCAGAGTCCAGCGGGATAGGGTTCTCTGGGGGCCCTGGCTGCTCCCCGATCTTCTTACTCTGCTCCTCCCTAGCCTGCCCTGCTCCATCCACCCCAGCTGTGGCCAGACATCCGCATGCAAACCCTGAGATCCTGTCCTGATGGGGCCCAGCAGTGTCCAGACACTGCTGGCTCAGGCCTCCCAGGAAATGCAGGCCCCATGGGGCTCAGGAAGGCCTGGCCACAACCAGGCATGCCTAGAACCGAAGCCTGCCTCCAGCCACCTCCTCCACGACCCGCCGGCCACCGGCTGCCCACTCCATGTCTCTCCCTGCTGGGTGACCCCTGCTGGATCTGGACCGGGGCTGGTGTGAGCCTGAGGCACTTGATCCACCCCTCCCCAGACTGGGTTCCATGAGGCCACATCTGGGACTCTGGCCAGGTCTCCCAGGCTCCATGCTTTCTGGGACACCTGGGCCAGGCCAAGTGCTTGCCTGCAGGAGGGAGGAGCTCTCTATGACTGCTACCATTGCAGTGAGCTCTGTGCACCAGTTGAATCAAGCCCAGGGGCTTTTCCAGCCCCTGGAACCCCTCTTACAGCTCCAAACCCTCGCCCCAGGTTCTGCTGTAGCGAGCACCCAGACCATTGTACGGCCCCCCAAGTTCAGAAGCTTCAGGAGGCCCAAGGGCTACTGAACACAGACACCAGTGCCACCTCACCCCCTGCCCTGACCTCCCCAATGGGAGCCTGGGGGCCACACAGCCCCTGCCCGAGCTTGCTGGGCAAGCAGCAAGCCATCCTTACTCCGCAGGCTGAGCTGCTCCCAGGAGTCACGGTCCAGGCTTCGGTTGAGGTAGAGAAGACCAGTGTCCTCCACACGGATCCAGTCGTTCTTGTGCAGTGGCTTGTGGTAGACGCCATAGAGGTGCTGGCCCACGTGGAAACGGGGGACCTCCCCAGGCATGTCTTGTAGAGCGTGCACATAGAGCAGTGGTGTGTGGGCCGGCTGGTCCAAGTACAGCCGCTCCCAGTAGGCGTCCCTCGGGAAGTAGAGGCCCAGGGGGGCTGCAGAAGGCAGGGGTCACATGGGGAAGGTGGGGACAAGAAAGCCATCAACCTATAATTCTGCTCCTAACAGGATTTCTCACCTCTGGTCCAAAGAACCAGAACACAGGGGCGTGTGTGTAGCTAAACAATGGTTGAAAACACTTTTCATTACAACAGAGGAGGAGGAAAGAGAAGGCAGAAATAAGACACACAGCAGAATCACTGTCAGGCACCCCAGTTTCCTGAGCACCTAAACTTCAGAGTTCATGCTGGCTTCTGAGCAAATGACTGGAGTTTGAAAGGGCACGAGACACCACCAGACAAGGAGGGCAGACGGTGGTGTCCAGCAACAAAGGTGGCACTGGGTAAGAGACTGACTGACCCAAACCCACTGCTGCCCCAGGACCCAGGAGTTCCACGCTGCTCAGTGGAAATACACCCAGGTGACCTTGATCATACATGGCTGGATTATTCACAGCAGCCTTGATAACCTCTAGCCAGCCGGTGTGCATCACAGAACCCCACATGGCAATGACGAAGGATGTGCTCCTGTGACACGAGGCCACTATACTGGCCTCACAGACACTGTGCAAGCTGAAGACACAGGCAGGAGGCCATGAATCGTGGCCTCTAGACTGAACCCAGGTGGGCAAGCGGATGCCTGCCTGGGGTAGCCTGGGAACAGCCAGAGGGCGTCCCGAGGGTGCCAGTGTCCTGTCCCCATGGGGAAGGTCATGTGTAGTAGCTACACATCAACACGGCACAGCTGAGACTTGGGTCTCCACCTATGTAAGTTCCACCTGAAAAACTAGAAAGAGAATCTTAGGCTGAGGGCAGAGGTGTGAAGGCCCGGAGAAGCTGGGATGCTGGCCACACCTGGCCTGGGCCCTCCGGGGGCTTACTGCCTGTGTGCTGGCTGTGCATGTTGAAGTTTTAAAACTAAAAAGCATTCTCAGGGCTGGGAATTTAGCTCAGTAGTGCTGCACCTGCCTTGTAAGTGCAAGGTCCTGAGTTTGATCCCCGGTACCCGGAAAAAAAAAAAAAAAAAGAAAAAAAACAGAAAAGCATTGTCAGATAGTGAGTATGCGAGCCCTGTGCACCGCTGGTATTGATGTGAAGTGGTGAGGCTGTGTGGAAGATGGTGTGGCTCCTCAAAACGTCACACACAGAACTGCACATGACCCAGCCATGACCAGCCCTGCATCCAGACCCAGAAGAACTTGAAGCTGCATACAGAGGTCCCCACACGTGCACGCACAGCAATATTGCTCACCACAGAGGGGAGGCACTCACGTGTCCATCCATGCATGGCCACGCAAAATGGAATACTAGTGAGCCCTCAGAAGGAAAAGGAAGTCCTGATGAGTGACACAGCCAGTCTCAAAGGGACCAACCCTGCACCTCACTTCCTTGAGACACCGGAAATAGTCACATCTAGAGACAGAGTTGGATGGTGTCTGTGGAATCACCACCTCGTGGGCAGAGCTTTAGCCGAGCAAATGGAAAAGTTCTGTGGGTGGACAATGGCAATGGCTGCACAATGGCCACCACGGACATTTTTTTCTTTTTCTTGGTTTTTTGAGGCAGGCCCTTGCTATGTAGTCCAGGCTGATGTCAAACTCACAGCAATCCTCTTGTCTCAGCCTCCTAAGTGGTGGGATTACAGGCATGTACCCCAGCGATGGCAGCAATGTGGATGTTCTTGATGGTACTGAACCCACACAGTTGAAAATGGTTAAAATGGCCAATTTCATGTGGACTTTTGGATTAAAAGTAGTAAGATATTTTTCAAAAATGGGTAAACAGGCAAAAGTTGCTTATAACCCATTTAAAAAACTTCAAATAATTTCGTAATGCACAAAAAACACGGACACACAAAGCAGCTACTAGAACCCTATGCTCACGGGCAACTGATTGCACTTCTGCACTCCCTGGTGGCCCTCCTGCTAATCTGCAGAGGGCGTCCAGTTGCAGGGGTTGGGACAAAGTCCAGGGCTAAGTGTGCTGGGTAGGCAGAGGACAGGGTCCCCGTGGGAGCCAGAAGGCAGTGCGGGTCCGGGGTCGTCCCCCAGGATGGGTACAAGGCCAGCTGGGCTGGGAAGCCAGCCTGGGGCCCTGCCCTCTCAGCAACTGAGCAAGGCCCTGTTCCTAAATGAGAGCTAAAAGGACTGGGAGGTGGCTGCGTGCGTAGGCCTCTGGTTCAATCCTAGGAAGAAAGAAAAAGGCCAGCTTTGAAGGGAGGGAGGGAGTCTGTTCTGGTCGTGCCTGGGCCAAGGTGGGGAGGCGCCGGGCCACGGTCGTGCCTGGAGGCCCTCAGGTGTCTGTCGTCCTGCTCTGGCCATGGGGGCAGTGTGGGACCTGGGCAAGCAGGCTGAGCCTTGCCTTCCTTCCCTGCTGCCTGGGGGGCACCAAGCCCCACAGTGCAGGGTGCAGCTGAGGGAAGCCCGGAAGCCACACCCTGGAGTGTGGCAGGAGGGAGAGCCAAGACCCCATCACCCAACCCGCCTCCCTAGGGACCCCTTCAGGAGCCACCTCCCTCCCGCTGGACCAGGAGTCAGAGCCTCCCAGATGGCACCAAGCTGACCTCTCTCTGAGTCCGGCCACACGAAGGGCAGTCCTCTCCTGCCATGGCTCCTGGTGGCTGCCCAGTGCACCCCGCCTGTTGCCTGGGCCCCCAACACGGCTCTGATATGCCTTGTGCCTTGAGGGGCAGGGGCTGGGGGAGGTGGCTCATGGGGCCCCACACAGGCAGGATGGAGTCTCCTGCTGCCCGGAGGGGCCTTGGGGCCGGCAATGATGTGACCGGGGTCCGAATGCACCTAAGTCGCCCCCCAGGAGGCCCAGAGCAGGCACTCCTCCTGTACACTGACCCTAATTGGAAATGGGGCTGAGGACAGGTGAGCACGAGGGCACTGGTGCATCCCGGGCCACTCACAGGGCCCATGCTGGTCTGGACCTGTGCTGCCTGTCTGGAAATGTCGCCCAATTCTAGATTGGGGCCCACAGTCGAAGCAGCCAACTACAGCAGGGGAACAGAATAAGCCACTGGCAAGTGACACAACAGGGCTGGTGGCCCCCTGCAGAGCACTGGCTTACTCTGGGCCTCAGTTTCTCTAACCGAGGAGCTTTGAGGACAGGCGCTCCCCTCTGTGTGCTGGACACCCATTCCCAGAACCCACACCTTGGCCTGCCATGCAGGAATGTGGACAGGGCAGGCTCTGTGCCTGTGGGGGCCTCACACAGCAGCCCCCCAAGGCCTCATGGAGCCCAGCCTCGCACACCTGCACCCACCTTCTCCCAGACAGGTCTGTACCCAGCCTTTGCTCCTGCCCACTTTGGGGCCCAGCATGACCCCACACCGCCTGCCACCTGCATCCCTGGGTCCTGCCCACAGGTAGCCCCAGCCCCAGCTGCTCAGACCATGCCTGCCAATCACTAAGCCAACCTCCACTGGAGAGACCTGGGACCTGTCACAGGCAGTACGTGGAACAAATCCACCCAGGGTGTGCAGGACACAGGCAGAAAGGGACACAGAGGCCCATAACCCAAGACCCCCTACCTGCCCACGCCACCCTGCCCTAGCCTGCCAAGACCTCTCTGTATTCCACATTGCCCAGATATCAGTTTACTGGCATCTGGGTGCAGATGGAAGTAGTTCTGCAGACCCTCCCTTTGCATACACAAAAGGCACATACACACATGCCTAGCCACACACCCTCTGCCCATGTGTGCTCGTGCACGGGCACAGGCTAGACCAGAAGATCACTCTCTGCAGGCAGTGCCACAGTCGCCTCGTGTTTCTGGCAGACAGTAGGGTACAGGTGCGGGGGCACCAGGGTGCACAGGCGCAGGGACACCTAGCACACCCCACCGTAGCTATGTGCCCTAACTATGCTGTGAGGGTCAACCCTAGCTGTCTACTTGACGGCCTTGGAGCCACCCCCAGGATTAGCAAAGCCACTTCTGGGTGTCTGGTGTGTCTCACGGGTGTGGCCTTGGTGTCTGGTCAACCTTTCCTCTCTAGTGCTGTCCCCCGGGCCCAGAAGCTCCTGGGAATGCTCCTTCCTGGGACCGTGTGGGTCTGACCCATGTCACACACGTTCTTTCACACACACAGCACCACATGCTCACCACTGCGCTCAGGCACAGCACATGAATACTCATCCTCTTCATAGTCCCCTCACACCTGCACACCCACCACTCATGACACAGTGCTGCCTCCTGGCTCAGCATGGACCTGCTGTGAACCCGCACCGGGAACTCAGGTTCTGCTGCCATTCCAGCCTGGCTGCCAGCCACTCACAAGACCACACACCCAGCCCCTGGCCAGGGAGACCGAGGGCACCACTGGCCTGCACCTGGCCAGCCCCTGGAGCAAGGACCCGTGGAGTGAGGGGCAGCCCTGGCCCCTGACAGGCCCAGCACTGGGGGGCATGAACATGTTCAAGGTGGAGTTTACTTTAAAATCAAAAGGAGAAAAGAAAAACGAGGAGTGTAATTGGACAAAGAAGCCTGGGTTATGTTTGTCTTATGCCAGCATAGTAACGGGATGCTTTTATTTGATCAAAAATGGTTTCACTGTACTGCCCAGGCTGGCATCAAACTCCCAGGCTCAAGTGATTTTCCTGCTTCAGCCTTCCAAGGGCTAGGGTTACACGGAGACTGCAGCCTCGGGGAAGGCAGGGACCATCCAGGGACTGTGGAGAAGGTGGCAGAGGGGCAGACTGGACACCTCTTCCCTCGCTTCCTCGTCCCCTGGAGCCCTTCAGAAGCCACAGGCCCTGCCTTCCCGTTGATGGCCCCGCCCAGGGCGGTGGTCCGCTTCCTTGACTGCCTGTGAGCTGCAGGCTGGATGGCTGCCTGGCCTCGCGTCTACCTGGGGCCACCCACACATGTCTCTGTGTTCCCAGCGCTCACCTCCTACCGTTGGTCCGGGGCCCAGGTACACAGGTTCCTGTCCTTTCTGCCTGCACGGAGCCATCTACTGCCTGGCTGGCCCTTGCTCCAGCCCCACCTCC